TTAATTATTGACACATTTAATTATTTATTTAATGCTGTAATTGTTTATTTAAATTTCACACTTTTTATCCTCCATAATAAATAGGACCAATGGGACATCAGCTTATATGGAAAGCGCTTTGCTTTATGTAGTTTTGTTTTTATTAATGTAGTTGCGCTTTGCTTTATGTAGTTGCGATTTTAGATTTGTAGTTGCAGTTTGCACTTCAGGGCCACCGTACCTTTCCATTGGTTCCCCCTTGTTCCCCTAGGGGATGGGTTAGTTGTGTTTCGCTGTACTTGTGACGGTGTAATGACAATTAAAGCTTGTAAAGAAATATTTAAAAATGAACATTTTAGGCGTTTTATTAAAAATTGAAGACTTTAATTATTTTAATTTAACTTGAGGTGTGAGGAGTTGGTCTTGACTCGATCTTGAGTTAGGTGGTCTTAATTATAACAGGGATTTTCTCTTTGCTTTAGTTTGGATCTTGTTCTGCTGGTTTGATCCATTTAGCCAATATAATGACCTCCTGTATCAACATTGGATGATCTACAAACACTGTCATTCTCATCTAGAAACAAAATAGATCAACACATGGATAGAAGGACCAAACCTCCATTTGTTCTGAGACAGAACCAATAATCTGGATGATCCAGAGCGTATGGATCAACAGGGCTGGAAATGTAGCAGGAGGCGCCGTAAATTCACCGTTTCTGTGTTTGCTTCCTCTCCCCAGTGGCTCTTTTTGACCATGTGTGGCTAAAGCTCAGAGCGCCGAGAGAGGACGGATAAGAGGAAAACAACTAGACTGAGAGGACACTTCTTCTGCTCCACTGTGCTGCCATAACACCTCAATACTACAAAGATACCACTACCATACTAACAAAATACTATAATGTTACTACAATAATGAAATGGAGAATTGCAACAATACGACGGTAATTCTGCAGTAGTCAGAGTGGAGCCTGAGTTTGATTTGAACATATTTATTCATATTTATCTGTTAATGATCATTAACTGCACTAACATGCATGAAAGTAAACAGCTTAGTTTAACCTCAGAGGAATCACCTAATTGGTTGAGATGGTTCATCCATCATGATCCATCTGGAACATTCTCTTTCAATAAAAAACCCAGCAGGCGGACCCTCCTCTGGTTCTGGTGTTCAGCTGCAGTCAGAGATTCTGCCAATAATGTGAGGACGATTCGGTTTTACCTCCAAGTGTTTTATTTATAAATGAGATTCAAATGATCTGAGACTTGAAATGTAAAAAGGAACTCTTCCTTCCTTCATTTAACCCATGTATTTACTGACAGCAGCTAGGTTCCTCCTGGGTTCTTGAAACCTGGAACAGAACGTTTGCGGACATGACTGACCCTCAGGAATGCAGCTCTGTCTGCAGTCTGCAGACCTCCTATTCTCAGGAACATCTTCATTCAGAAGTGTATTACTACAGACCCATAGTACAACCAACTGTCCTTTGGTACTAGAGCTGTACATGTAACCTACCTGCTGCTGTGCTAGTCTGCACTGATAGAGGGCGCTGTAGCTACTCTGTATTTATGCTTTCACTGGCTGTGATACCCAGCTGAGTTCTTTACTCACATCCTGACCTTTAATAAAGTGAAGCAAACCAAACTGTCTGTGTGTGATGGATTACTCACTCATACAGGATACCTGGGCCCTATTTTTACAAAGCAGAGTTAGTTTTGATCCAGAGTTAAGTTCTGGGGTCTGACCCCGCTTACACTGAGTGTTCTGTTTCACAAAGCCAGGAAGCTGTTATGCTTAAAGTAAAAGCTGTAAATGACTCTATGAAACATCCCTGCTCAGTAGCAGGGTTTTTGGAAGTATCCATGAGTATTTCCTACTTTTTAATTTGGATCTAAACAAGGAAGTGTTGGAAAGTTTCCTCCTCTGAAATAACCTATTGAGGTTGGATTTGAAAGACTAAAATATCTCCAACAGGAGAATGTGATTAGGGCTCAATTAGATATTTGAATTTTTCCAAAGGAATTAGTCCTCTCAAATCTGCTTTAATAAAGACAGATTTTATCATCACCGGCACTGATTAAGATTCCCATCTGAAGCATGAAACATTGGCAGAAGATGGCTTAGTACACATTGTGTCTATGAGAATTACATTAATTGCTGCTTATTATGTTGCATCTAGACATTCAATACAGACAAGTAAAAATGTAATATAATCAAACTTCATGTCAAATATCTGTTATTTATCGGACTTTCTCTAAATTTAGGGCTTTTTCCTCAAATTTGGTTGGTAAATGTGTACATATATATATATATACACATATGAACATGTGTCTTGCAATAAAGAGTTTAATTGAATACTTAAAGTTAGGGATGCATGATATAATCGGCCCCCTATTGGTATCGGCATTAAAACTGAAAATCGGACATCGGCCACCCCACCGATATTTAACCCGATATTTGATCAGCTTCTGAGCTTCTAAAATTTAATAAAAAGAAAAAAAAAAATACTACTTCTTCTTCCTCAAAAACTTCTTTTTTAAAGACTTAAAAACTTCTTAAGACGAGGGAAAAAATATTGATACATTAAAATATCACAATATCTTCATATGCTGATATATTGCCATTTAAAAACACCATATCAATCTCTTTTACTAATTAAATATTGCTACATGTCATCGTTGTGCTACGAAATCCCCCGAAAATTCATGAAACTTTGCCATA